TTATGACTTTACGCCTTTAATAAGACGAAATCGGTCATATTAGATAAAATTATTATAGTTTAATTAAAATTTATGTAATTGTTTTAGTAAACAGCATTTAGCATAAACATGAACAGCATCATGACCATCACAGAATACTCCGAGAATATCCATGGTTACCTTCACGTGTTACCAATCTTGAACATGTTGTTATAAGCTTAAAGTGCCGACAATCGATAGAGAAGAAAGCTTCTTGAGTGGCGACCCCACACCAAATGGAATGACGATCTCATTACAGAAAGTCAGTGGAGGGAGGTGGCTCGGAACCATTCCATATGGAATTCACTATGGAAGAAGCATATGTTCAGCAGTGGACAATTAATAGTTGATATAATGGTGAAAATAGTGTTATACCACTGTACCTTGTCATTTCACTACTATAGCCCACCCTTCAAACCGAAACGTACCCATATAAGTACAGATGCTTCACGGCAGAAACACAGCAGAATAAATGTTACCAAACTGATGATTATTTCTTTTCTCACATACATAAGAGGTTTTTTTTGTTTAATTCCACTAATTTAATTATTAGATGTACAATAAACAATAAACGTTACCAAGCTAATGAATATTTCTTTTTTCACATACATAAGTGGTTTTATTTTGTTTAATTCCACTAATGTAATTATTAGATGTACAATAAACAATAAACGTGACCAAGCTAATGAATATTTCTTTTTTCACATACATAAGTGGTTTTATTTTGTTTAATTCCACTAATGTAATTATTGGGTTCACAATAAATTTATATCCTTGGTAATTTTGTTCTTTTTTTCATTGTACGAGTATGTCGGCGCCACCTTGTTTTTTAAATTGCTTCTGTCTCTTATAACATTTTGTATTGTGTGTTCCTTTCAAAATAAATGTATAAGGAATATTACCAAATTAATTATCTTTATTAAAATAGCCAATAATAAAGATTTAATTTATTTAAAGTTAAAATTAGCAATACAAAGTTTATAAGAAAATATTTTTTTTAATTATTTGTTATCTTTATCTGTTTATAAAATGTACTGGTTCTTGTTATATATATATATATATATATATATATATATATATATATATATATATATATATATATATATATATATATATATATATATATATATATATATTATTATTAATTATATGTTGAAATGAAATTGATGTATTATATATGTTTTTGTTCTATTTCAATTGTTTATCTATTTTCTTTTTTATAAAAAAACTACAATTGTCAATGTATGTAAAAAGGTTAATTTTAAACACTTAATAATCTGTCGGTGACCTCTTTATCTACTCTCGTCTGACATTCAAACATTACATATTATTAAAAGTATATTCACGTAATAAACTGGTAATTAGATAAAAATGTATAATACAGAATGAAAAATGTAGTACTATACTGTTTCCACTTGTTATTGTACGCACATTGCCCGCTGATAATTAATGCTCCTTTCCACTAAAGGTTTGCTGGAAGAGAACTCTTACAGAGTTAAGCTTACCTGCTGTACATTTTCATTTAATATATTTTTTTATATACAACTTAGAATGGCAAACAAGCTGACGGCCCACTTGATGGAAAGTGGTAACCGTCGCCTATAGACATGAGCAGTACCATGGACATAACAGAGTATACAGTTTCGCCCATGATACCCCCCATGCGTTGCCATTCCTGAGGACTCAGATGTTATTCCTCTGTACCCAGTAAATTCACGCCATATCCCACCCTTCAAACCGAAACACAGCTGCTTTCACGGTTGAAACACGAATGGGACAGAGGTACCCAAGCAATCGACTTTTGTACAATGAAGTATAAATAAATAAATAAAGAACTAATCTAGCAACAATAGATAGAACTACGAATCTACATAATATCAGTCAGCTATCTTAAGATATAAAAATCCCGTATCACGAGCTTCGTTGACGCTAATCTCCAGAACTGCTCAACCGATTTTAATGTAATTTTGTAAAGACAACTATGCAGTATTTGCTTCAATTTGAGAGGATAGTTTTTATCTTAATAAGTAGTAGATAGCGGTTGGGAGCAAGACCTTTGCCATGTTAACAAATTGTACGAATATTATACAATTATATTGTACCAGACGAAGACTGTACAATAGTTGTCTGCTTGGGTACTTCCGTCCCATTCGTGTTTCTGCCGTGAAGCAGTTGTGCATACCTGTGATTCGGTTTGAAAGGTGGAATATGGTAAATATATTACATGGTATAAAAGCATACACATAAGGGGCATCACAGATGACACATTGAATTTGTTATATGTCGGTTACCACTTTCCATCAGGTAGGCCGTCAGCATTGTTACGTCGTTGTAATAGATTAGTTACTAGCTTTCACCCACGATTCTTTCCGTGTAACCGGGATATGTTTACTGACCGGGATAAAAGGCAGTATCTAACTCTCTCCATTCCATATAACACGTGTATACTAAATGTCATAGTATTTGCTTAAGCCGTTAGTACTCTAATATGTAACAAATAATCACACCTTCACTATTAGTAAGAATTTATTCTAATATCTAATGGTTAGTAGGTAATTTTTTTTATACGTGAAAATAGTTTATCTATAGTACTCTCAAATATAAAGGCGTACAGATATAATCTAAGTACCTATATCTAGATATAAAACAAAGTTATCAGTGAAGATAAGTATTATTATGAATCATTATAATCTGTTTCCCTATTTTTTTTTTTGCAATATATTCATATGATTTTGTTTTTTTTTTTATTTTTAGGTTAACTTTATAATATACATTGCTGGGGGGAAAGGGATTGTTAGCAATGGAGATTAACAGCCCTATTGTTAGCAATATACCCTGTTAGGTTGACCTCCACGTGGTTCCCCCTGAAAACCATCGTGAACAATTCTTATTAAATTCGTCACGATGGGCTAACTGACTTGCTTCATCCTCACCTATCATCCTTCATAGCGCGGGTGGGGTTACCATTCCATTATCACCCATTAAAAAAAATATATACATTGCTCCCACGTACTAAATATTTCTTTGATTTGTTAATAGATAATAATGGAATGGTAACCTCGCCTGCGCATATACGCTGGCAGGGCACCAATAAGGGATAATAGGTGAGAATAAAAAGCCTTGCCTTTTTAGTTAGTCTATCGTGATAAATACAGCTGGAAATCAGCACGATGGTTTAAAGCAGTAAACCTACTTAATCACTAGATTCGATAATGTTTTTTTACATAAATTTCTAATGACGATACTTTAGAACGAAACAAGCTTCAATACGGCTTCTTTACGCCAAACGCGCATCACTAAAATTTATTGGCGAGATAGCTTAGCTGACGACCCAATAAGGGTACCCCTAAATCTGGAATCTGAACCCTCCATTGTTGGTAAATGGAAAGTTATTTTCATAGTTCATTGTATCGTGAGTCGTGTCGTGACCCGTTAAGGAAACCGGGTCAGAGGCATGCAATAATTTGCAGACTATATCGACCCTCTTCCTAATTGTTATTTATTTTAGCATTAATATATCTACATTAAATTTACTTCTGTTTATGACAACTCTTTATTGCAATGAAATAAATAAATATTTATTTTAATAATAGACTCTGAATATATGGTTTAAAAAACTTTAATAAAAACATTTATTTAATTAAACGACAACAAGTTGTTTTAGGATAAATAAAAATAGTAATATTATTAAAATATGAAAATCGTATTTTGAAATTAATCTTTAATTTAAAAATATAGGCAGAGATAAAATCCACTTTATCGAGCACACAATAATTACTAAAATATTATTTTTATATTTTAATAATATTTCTTTAAGGCCAATTATAAGACTGTTTAAAATACTTGTTAAATGTTTTAAATAATGTCATACAAAACTTAATTTCAACAGTAAATTACTTCTATAAAATTTGCAATAATTAAAAAAAGTTCAAAATTAATTATATAAAAATTATTTTTAAATTTTTTATATAATTTGTTTGTATTAACAAATTATATTAATAAATTATTATTTGAAATAATATATTTAAATTCACTGATCTCAAAGGTTATAAATTTTGTGAAACAAATACACATACTCGTGCCTCTTACGTATGATAACTATTAATACAAACATGACTTGCTGCTTTTTATTTTACGATATGAATAGACGGTGGAAATGAACAGATATGGAGCTCTATTTTATTTAATACAAACACATTTAATTTTTTTTATTATTGACTGTTTAAAGTCCAAATAGAACGAATGTACTTGAACTTCTGTGACTTACACTTTACACTCACATTTAGTGTACTCATAACTAGGTACATACGTGCAATATGTAGAATATTTTATATCTTTTATTTACTTACAAAGTGTCAATAAGATGTAAATTTTACACATAAAGTACTAAAGTAAAATATGAATAAAGATACAAAGGTAGCAGATATCTCATCGTTGCCCTGAATTATTCAATATTCGAGAAAGTCAGGGCCCATTCCGGTTTTTATTAGGGAAAACGTTAGGCACGACTCAGAAGATTTCTTAATAAAAAGAAATAACTATGAAATATCAGAAGCAATTGTGCAGGGACTTAATATTTTATAAGAAAAGAACATGCCTTTTTAAGTTTGTTCTTATTTACAATAAACATTAAAGGCACTATCGTGCATATATCGTACGTATATATCGTAATATATACTACAGACAAAAATGTAGGTACATTTTTTCAAATCAGAATAAATATTATTTAAAGTGCCATACTCAAAACTTTCTCAGAAACTATTAACAATTATTAAGAGATTAATTTTCGTAAATACTCTGCCTCTTATATGAGAGTTTACTAGATAAATATTGTTTTTTATAACTTCAGTAGCTTCGGCTCAAAGTCGAGTCAGTAAGCAGTTCAAGCAGTCTTTTGAACAAAGATTATAACAGTATTAAACAATACTCTAAATCTGCACTCAACATATATATATATATATATATATATATATATATATATATTTACAACACAGTGGGCAAACGAGCATGCGGCTCACCTGATGGTAAGTGACTACCGCCGCCCATGATCACCCACAACACCAACGGCATTGCAGGTGTGCTGCCAGAATTTTTATATGTCTTTTATATAAGTAAAGATAAGTAGGTACTTACATCACCATCATGATTAATCTTGTCGATCTTTAATATTTCCACAGGTTTTATTCCATTATATTATAATGACTTGACTAGTTTTGTCGTATCTATAAAATTTTGATTAATTGATCAATACTATACAAAATTCCAAAAAAAAAAAAAAATATGTACACTAAATCAACTATAAAATTTACAATAGCCAGGAAAGAGATTATTTAGCTGATATCTCATCGGAGTCTTAATTTCAATGGAAGTCCTCCTTTAACTCCTTGCACGACATTGGAGCGCGGGTTGACAACGGGTCGTCGAAGAGTGGCTTCCGACGGTTCGACGGTAAAGGTGCGCAGGACGGCAGCTAAACCAGCCAGAGACTGCATGTGGCCCAGGCGAGCTCCTGCAACCGTAATACAAATGTTTTAACTAAACCGGCAAAAATATTTTTACATCCTACCAGTACTTACCGAGACAACTTTTTTATGTACTACTGAGGTAGCAAACAAGTATATATCTCACCTGGTGGTAAGCGGTTACCGTAGCCTATGGTACGCCTGCATTACTAGACTTATTACGCGCGTGTTGCTGACCCTAAAGAAACTATTTCTTTGTATCAGGACAAAAATCATTCTTTCTCTCAAAGCAAACAACACACTTACAACATTTCATTAAAACAGGTTGATTAGTTTAAATTAATGTGAACGAAGATGATGACATAGCATTTTTATGTACATGATAAGATTAAAACCGTTCAAGTCAACAGTTGAATATACATAATATAGCTATAACAACACATTTAGCTAACAATCTTCATAATGCAATCCTTACTTTGCGTGACTGAATTACTGAATTCGATATTTGATCGGGCCAATTTAACAAACGAACTTATTCCAAATAGCTCGGATCTTAATGTCTTGTCTTCGATAATTGTCGCCTAGTTTCTCATAACATACAGTAATTTCATAGTAATTGGGCCCATCCGCACTCTTTCAACTGGCTTTAAAATAAAAGAGGTTTTCAATTCGACTGTATTTTTTATGTTTGTTAGTTGTAAACTGATTTAATTCTTTTTTTTTATTATCTAAGAGGATATACTTACAATTTGGTTCTATAGAAATTTTATCAAAATCGATTCAATGGTTTAATTTTTAACTCAATATAACTAACTGTTTCTGTCACAAAGTATTTTTTTATGGAACATAATCATATACTTAATTATTGTTTATTACCAATATATGCAATTTCTTATATAAACTTACCAATACATGCCCGTGGTCCTTCTCCAAATGGTAAGTACGTGTAGTGATGACGACTTTTTACCGCTTCAGGCGTAAACCTTTCGGGTCTGAACTCTGTGGGGTTATCGAAGTACTTCTCATCATTCTGAATCGCTTCAATTGGAATTATAATCTTGACTCCCGGATCTATGGTGATATTTAGATCCGGAATCGTATATCGTTTGGCGCACACTCTGTTCAAATTCCCAAGAGAGGGAAAAATCCTCATTGCTTCCTTGAAGGACATATCCAGTAGAGACATCTCTGCTATTGCATCGTAACATAACTTGTTATCGTATTTTAACAACACTTGATCAATTTCTGCTTGAATTTTAGATTGGATATCTGGATTGTAAGCTAATTCATGCAACATGTAACTTGTAGCCGAGGACGAAGTTTCAAATCCTGCTGCAAAAAATATGAATACTTGTGCTGCCATACACTTTAGATTCATCTCCATTTCTACTTCTATTGGAGTACCATCAGGATTTCGTCTCTCGATAGAATCACCTTTAATTTTACCCTTGCTTTCCAGTTCTAATAATAAATCTATAAAATCGTTGCGACCAGAAGGTTTGTAATTTCTTTGAGCCCTTATTTTTGTAACAATATCAGTTATGATATTTTCTATATCAGAATTGATAATAGGTAAATAATTTCTGGATATAGGGAAACCCTCCCATATCATTATCTTTATAATATCAGTTATTGTTCGATTAAAAATTAGTTTACCCAAGTCTCGAAATAGTGAGTGTTCGTTATTGATGGTGTCCATTTCAATTCCAAACCCGCAAGCTCCAATGAACTCCGTGGTGAACCGCGCCATCAGCTCACGTACATCACACTCTCCTCCGCAAGATACGATATCTTTACCAACCACCTGCAATTTCTCTGCACATTTCACTACTAACGGGAACATATTTTTTAATTTCGCTGTCGTAAATGCGGACGTCATACGTTGCCTCAGAAGTTTCCAAGTGTCACCATCGGCGTGAAATAAGTTAGCCAGCAGAGAATCCACTTTGGGATTTCTTCCAAGGCCTCGAGGATAAAAATACACGAAATCTACATTCATAATATGTCTAATAATTTCGGGATCTCTTATTATGAGTTCTGGTTCACTCCATCTGTAGTATCCGACGACTTTTTCCTTGGGATATTTGTTGTATAATTCAACAGCGATATCAGTAATACTCTTCAATGCGAACTGATTTCGAAAATGATTACCAATAAACAGTACTGGTGGATCATGTTTAATATTTCTCTTTGACCAATAGTCATGGTTTCTGGTGCCATAGAAATAAACAAAAATTATTATAAGGACCACTAATAACACGATCATGTTACACAGTACAGCGAATTGTGAACGCGTGCGTCTAGACTTCGAACTGTATTATTACTGTAGTTCTAACTAGAATAACAGGTCTGTAAAAAGTAGATAATATGTATTCAAATATACTGACACCTATTAGAATTGGGTCTAATTTATTTTATTTATTCAAAGATAAAACTATTGAGATAAAGCTATTGAGATATAAACTATACAATGTGCTTTAGTTATATGATATTATAGACATTCTATTATAAAATGACGTTTACAAGTAATTCTATTTTTGACTTACTGTATTCCGCGGCTTTCCTATAAGGCCCATTTACCAAATTTTATTTTTGTTGTGAAGATAAAAATTTATATGTATAGTATGTACCTACATTATTATTTTTTCTTTAAACAGATTTAAGTAATTTTGTATAATTTGCGTTAAAAAAAATATTTCCCATATTAAGTTTTAATTTAATTTACACTCGGATTTTCTATTAAATGTTTGTTTTATTTTAAAAAGTAATCAAATAAATATTTTACTCAGATTTTTTTATTATTACTACTTTTTTAATTTTACTCTTAAATCTGTGTAAAAATTATTTTAACGCAAACTTATTTAACATAATTAGAGAATAAATTTTAAGAAATACTAAAATTAAGTTCACTAACATTTTACCTTTATTATATTTTATATGTTTGAACATTAAGTATATAACATTGATTTGGCTTTTGTTGTCATAATGTATAATTATTTTTAATAAATAAATAAATGAAAAATATTTACAATATGTACAGTATTTGCATATCATGTAGTACTAAAACTCATTTTCATAATTATAATATTGTAAAAAAAAAAAATTTTCTGCGAGTTTCAAGTTTGACCAGCATATTCCTATTATATTTACAGTATTTGCACTTCAGCGATTTCTTGTGGCGTCTTAAAAGTTTTTTTCCGCTCCAATTCTTCAAATAAACTCATTTTCACAGCTGAACAATTTTCAATGCTTTAAAACTCCCTGAATCGAATTCATTTTTTATTAATATTTTTATTAAGGATTAACCACAATTTTTACCTGAAGTTTGTTAAAGGCACAAGCCATACTATCTAAAATCATTATCATCATCATACCAGCCTTTAACTGTCCACTGTTAAAGGCTGGTATGATGATAATAATGATTTTATTGCACATAAGCCTCTCTTTTGGAGGGTTTTGCTACTTGTTGCCACGCTTAACAGGCGGGTTGGCAACCGCAGTTAGGCTTTAGAGATGTTTTAAGAGGGACGCTGCTGCCCGTCCCTCGCCCTTCTTTAGTCGCCTCTTACAACGCTCACGGAAAGGAAGGGGAGGCCTATTCTATGCCGAGTTCTCACGGCAAATATGTTCCATACGGAACACAATTTTTTATATGCCAACATTGTTACTATATACCTTTTTAATTTAGTCTCGCTCTCAACGTTCCCCTGGCTTTGCCTTGATGTCGAAAAATTTTCAATTAATACAGTTATCATTCCAAAAATATATATATATATATATATATATATATATATATATATATATATATATATATATATATATATATATATATATATATATATATATATATATTGTCTTAATACAATTAATCATTTACTCTTATTTGTACTGCTGATTCGTCCATTTCTCCATATATAGTACTGCGTCATCAATCATTAAATTTTAATCCATAAATAGATACATGTCTGTGATATAACAAAACTTCGTAAAGACCTGTATGAAAGTTCATATGCGCCTATTTCAAGAGACCAGCCCTCCCCCCTCCTTTGTAGTGGATGATAATAGAATGGTAACCTCACCTGCGCTATGGGTATACCCTCGGCACTGTTTAACAACATACTTCTGCTGTATCAAATCACAGCTCAAGATTGTAATAACAAAGAAATAAAAGTGTGCGCGAAAAACATAAGAAAATCAGTGAAACAAATAAAAAAAAAATGTAAGGATGAAAACAAATTCATAAAAAATTAACGAAGATGGTTTCCAGGCGCAACCAGATCTAGATCGACCCGATAAGGTGTAGTGCTTGCAGTGGGCCCTCTAGTTCCCATTAATAACAACCTCTTTTCCCCCTCCACCCTTAAACAGCCTATCTGATATTTTACTAGAGAAAAAAACTACATAAATCGTCTATTTTCACCCTAATGAGTTTTTAAAAGAGTATAAAGTCAAAAGAATTAATATAAGTTCAAGAACAAATAATATAAGTTCATAAAGTTTTCGTTATATAACGTGTATATATATATATATATATATATATATATATATATATATACATATAATAAATTATTTAATTTACCCTTACCCTATGTTTCTAACGAGTATGTTTCGGTCTGAAGGGTAGAATTAGGCCATGAAAATATAGAGTACATAGGCGTAAGGTATAGTCTTATGCTATTCTATTATTATACCTTGTTATTCTCAATGATTATTTTTAGGAATAGTATTCTTAGGAATAGCAACGCATGTCAGGTATATACAAACATACATACATATACATACATACATACATATTATATACATACCATGGATACATATTCTTACCGTCCTGTCTCTAAAATCCACCTTATAAGTAAATTATTCCTACAGATGTACCAAAAAAAATATTAATAAACGTTTACAATTTCTCTCCTGCAACAATCGCTTAGTCTTTTAAAATATACACATAAATATCATGTACCATATGTGTAATGTCTTTTAAAAAAGAATGTATGATTGAATGATATATAATCTATTAATAGAAATACATTCGATTTAAATTAATTAAATAAATATATTACAATAAAAAATAATTAATATTTAAATTATTGAACTTCTTTTTCAATTGCAAAACGATTATTGGAATATTTATGTTTATGTACTATTGCGTACGTACGTACTATAATGTACGTTATATATGAATGTTTATGTAATTTGGTCTTATTTTGATATTTGTAAATGATATTTAGAATAATATGCATTTTATTTGGTAATTTTTTTATTTACTATTTTTTGTGTATTTAGCGATAAGGTAAAGATAATATTTTGTATATGCACATTCTGTATAAATACTACTTGTATACGTTTATTGAAAGAGTTTATTATTATTATTATCCAATATTGTTTCTTTATATAAATAAACATAATTATCGTAGTGAGAGAAACTTTACGCGTCTTGTAAATTCTTAACCGTAAATGTTTGAAAGTAGGTATATTTCTTAAAACTTAAGTTATTTGGCGGACAACTTGAACTTACTGGAAAGAGAAATTCATCAATGACAACAACTAAAAAATTAATTTTAACTTAATTTAAAATATATTAAATAACATAGTACATTCCTCCTGATTATCTAAAAAACCGATTCTTGTTTCTCAGTGAGGCTAATAATCATACTTTACGCAGTGTCATAACCTCCGTCTCAAATTTCCCGCTCATTTTTTTTATTTTATTCTGAATCCTTTACTGTTCAGGCAGTACGCCTATGGAGCTCAGTACCTACCTCTATTCGGTGCACTCAAACTCTTACTAGCTTCAAAACCTCTATTAAATTCTACTACCTCTCCCTTTAGTACTATAATATTTTTCTGTGTTCTCTCTTCGTTTTCCTTCGTCATTTTCTTCTGTAGGATGTGTGCTATTAAGTATGTGTATGTTTATGTATATATTTTATTGTGTATATATAATATATGTATGTGTATATATGTGTGTATATGTATATGTTTGTATATGATAATATTTATATAATAGTGCGCCTACCTACCCTTTGTCTTCTTTGTTTTCTCAATGTCCTCTACCCAAAGGTTGTCTGGAAGCGGTTGCTTAGAGATAAGGCCGCCTTTTGTATCACCTCTCATTAACATTTACTGTATTTGTTATTTTTCTTTTTACTTGGTGCAATAAAGTGTAAAATAAATGATAAACAAATCTGAATCCTATTATAATTATATTATAAATACAAAAGTTTGTAAGGACAGGTAAATAGATGTTTGTAAATCATTCACGAAATAACTACGTGTTTTTGACGTTCTGTAATCTAACACGTAATGCATGAATGTTTTTAACTTTTTCTCAAAGTCACCTTTTACATATACAGATAGCCACTAGTAAAATGGAGGTAGAACAAAAATATCATGTGTTGAAAATGTTCATTAATCTCTAAACAAATATTCCTATATCAACAATAGAGATTTGAGATTAAATTATTGTACAAAACACTTATATAAATATAACAATAATTTATCATATCTAGTACTATTCTGTTTCAAATTCTACACGCACGTGTTTCCAAATCGCTGTTACAATATGATTATATTATTACTGATACTTTGTGTAATGGTTATATATTTCTATAGCAACAGAAATCACGACTACTGGTCGAAAAGAAATATTAAACACGACCCACCATTACCGCTCATCGGAAATCATTTTCAAAACCAATTCGCTTTGAAAAGTATCACCGATATCACTGTTGAATTGTACAACAAATACCCCAAGGAGAGAGTCGTCGGATACTACAGATGGAGTACACCGGAACTCATAATAAAAGATCCTAAAATAGTGAGGCACATTCTAAATGTGGATTTCGCACATTTTTATCCCAGAGGTCTTGGCAGAAATCCGAATGTAGAACCATTACATGCTAACTTATTTCACGCCGATAACGATACTTGGAAACTCTTAAGACAAAGAATCACTCCCGCGTTTACTACAGCGAAATTAAAAAAAATGTTCCCGCTAATAGTAAATTGTGCAGAGAAGTTACAAGTGGTTGGTAAGGATATTGTATCTCGTGGAGGAGAGTGTGATGTACGTGAGCTGATGGCACGGTTCACTACGGAGTTCATAGGGGCTTGCGGGTTTGGAATTGAAATGGATACCATTAATAACGAACACTCACTATTTCGAGACTTGGGTAAATTAATTTTTAATAGAACAATAACTGACGTCATACGACTGATGATATGGGAAGGTTTCCCAATATCCAGAAATTATTTACCTGTTACAAGTTCTGATATAGAAAATATCATAACTGATATTGTTACAAAAATAAGGGCTCAAAGAAATTACAAACCTTCTGGTCGCAACGATTTCATAGACTTATTATTAGAATTGGAAAGCAAGGGTAAAATTAAGGGTGATTCTATCGAGAGACGAAATCCTGATGGTACTCCAATAGAAGTAGAAATGGAGATGAACCTGAAGTATATAATAGCGCAAGTATTCGTATTTTTCGCAGCAGGATTTGAAACTTCCTCTTCGGCTACAAGCTTCACGTTACATGAACTAGCTTACAATCCAGATATTCAAACTAAAATTCAAGAAGAAATTGACCAAGTATTATTAAAATACGATAACAAGTTATGTTACGATGCAGTAACAGAAATGTCTCTACTGGATATGTCCTTCAAGGAAGCAATGAGGATTTTTCCCTCTCTTGGAATTTTGAACAGAGTATGTGCCAAACGATATACGATTCCAGAACTAAACGTCACCATAGATCCAGGAGTCAAGATTATAATTCCAATTCAAGCGATTCAGAATGATGAGAAATATTTTGACAACCCCACAGAGTTCAGACCCGAAAGGTTCACGCCTGAAGCGGTAAAAAGTCGTCATCACTATACATACTTACCATTTGGAGAAGGACCACGGGCGTGTATTGGTAAGTTTATCATTTAGAATATAATATTAGAGTAATAATCATGGGGTATTTGCCGTATAGATCCAGGGATAGAATAGATCACCCCTTCCTTTCCCGTGAGCATCGTAAGAGGCAACTAAGGGAAGGTCCAGAAATAAGCAGCAGCCTTCCATAACATATCATTAAAAGCCTAACTGTGGTTACCAACTCGTCTGCCAAACATGGCAACTACTTTAAAAACCCCCCTTATAGAAGAGGTCTATATTCAGTAGTGGAAAATTATTGGCTCATATGGGATTATATGGCGAATAGCCATATGATCTTGGCATAGATTAGGCCACCACTTCTTTTACCGTGGAGTGACCTTAAGAAACAACTAAGGAAATTTAGTAGTCAGAAGATAGGCAACAACGTTCCATACAACATCGTGAAAAACCTAACTGCGGTTACCAACTCGTTTGCCAAGAATGGCAACTATTAGCAAAACTGTGGTGTTTTGACAGTAGTTGCTAGAGGAAGGCCTTTGTTCAACAGTGCACAGTTAATGACTGATATAATGATTCGAGTAATAAGCAATATGAGTAAAAGAAAAAATATAATATAAGAAACGGCAACTACAAAAATAAATAACAATTCACGGGAAACCATGAATTGGAAATTGAAATAAAATGTTAAATTAAACATAATATTGATATTATTATAATTGCAGGCGCTCGATTGGGCCATATGCAGTCTCTGGCTGGTTTAGCTGCCATCCTGCGCACCTTCACCGTCGAACCGTCGGATGCCACTCTTCGACGACCTGTTGTCAACCCGCGCTCCAATGTCGTGCAAGGAGTTAAGGAAGGAATTCCTCTGAAACTAAGACTCCGATGATACAACTATGTATTTATTGTAATAATTATGCGTGTTATTACGTACTGATAATGGGTTTTAATTAAATTTTAACTATATACCTATATTTATATGCTTTGATACTCCATTTGCCAGTATGGGTCCGACATAGAATAGGCCACCCCTTCCTTTTCAGTGGGTGTCGTAAGAGGCGACTAACGGAGGACGTGGAATAGGTAGCAGCGTCCCTCTTAAAACATCTCTTAAGCCTAACTGCGGTTGCCAATCCATCTGCCAAGCATAGCAATTACTGGCAAAACTAGCATAGGATTGTTATAGTCTAGCATTGGACAGTTAAAAGCTGATATAATGATAGTACTCTATTATTGCTAGACTAAACAACCCGAGAATCGAACATAACACCCAGCGATACGCCAATACGATTGCATAATATTAAGCAATCGGTACCAGCACTACTGCCACTAGCTAATAAAAAGCTCAATGGTAGCATAGCGCTGTCCCGGGCAGAGTCGTGAACCGCACACATTAATAAGGGCTTCTAGTCGAGCATCCCTTAAATTAATATTGACGTAAAAAAAAACAAAAAACTAACGGATTTCAATAAAAAATTTATAAACGGGTAGGTTATTTACTTATTTTTTATACGTATTTTTGTTGAGCTTTACAGATTTACTAATGCACTCACTAAAAACTAAATCAATCAAATATTATGAGTATAATGATACAATAATGGAAAAATAATAATAATAATATAATTATATAAATTTATATAAAGATTATATAAATAATCTAATTATGCTATAAAAAAATAAATATTTAAAATGCATTTCTGCGTAATTTGTTATCGTTTTATGGTAGTACAGTGTAAAGAGTTCAGTTCGGATCTTGCTACTACCTCATTGAGCAGACGTAGGCGCCTGATCAGCATGAAATGTCTTGTTGCGTGGTAGGACAAATATTCCGTGATTACGGTCACGCTTACTGAGGTCTGGGACAGACATGCTTATAAGATTCAACATAAACGCATTGTACTTTATTCCTCTAATTATATTGTAGAAGTATTCTAACAAAGAAACAAGTCGCCTTACCTCTAGAAAATTATATCCCACCATACCCAACAGAAAAGTACTCGGATACATATGAGAATAACGTACATGATACTGTTTACGGTACAGCCATCTCACAAACTTCTTCTGTAATTTTTCTATCTTCTGTGTATATTTAGTTTCATGTGAGTTCCAGATATTTTCCTTTATACTATTATTTTTTAGCATATTCCGTACTAAAACATTATAAAGAATTTTAATTGTTTCTATCGTATTTATTTATAGGATTACCAGCATAAGATACAGGTAAACATTTCAGTACAATACACTGGTAGATTAAATCTAACTGTTCTTACATTTATAGGCAACCACAGCATGCCTTGTGTTTGATAAACATTAAAATAGAATTAAATTATTAAATGTCATATTATAAAAAATATAATAATATATATAACAATAAAATAAAATAATAATATATAAATAATAAAAAAATATCTCCATCTTCCTACCCTTATCCCAATTATTATTTGGGATCGGCGTAATATGTTTTTATCCATATTACAAAAATATTTGGCTTTTAGTTTTACGACCAGCTGCCTGCCTGACGTCAACCCTCTTTTGATTGAAATAATCAAACAATATTAACAGTATGAATAATAACATAATATAAATAATGGAAATTGTAATGTAATTATTTTCAATTATAAATAAATATAATGCAATGGCGTGGTACATCAATATTTTAATTTAGCCATAAACACAGAGTGACAATCGTTGTGAATATCAAGTTCAGGCTTGGTTTTTACAATATATACTTGGTTTTTACAATATTACAATATGTACATATATACAGACGCATTATGCGGACAATAGGTGATTCGCGGCCCACGTTTGTTCTGCAACCTGAAGTAACTCTCGATAAACATTTGGACTCGAGTTGATATTGGTAATGAATGGGGTCCTTTAATCGGCTAAATGACAAAACTGAACATTTATCTGTATTAAACAATAGGCCATTTTTAACGCTCCAGCGTTGCACCCGATCAATACCTTGTTGAAGAAGTTTGCAATCAGAATTGCTATTAGTTTTTAAGAATAATTTGAAATCATCAGCGATTGTTGTTGTCTTTTATTCTTTGAAACCACTCATTAAATTGCGTATTTGATGGCTGGGTTGTTCTTCTTTTTAACCTACAAAAAGGTGTCTTCGTCAGTTAAAAAAAGATATAATAAAAAATCATCCGTATTATTTTATTTTATTCATGTTTCAATATGTACTGTACTAAAAATGTAACGGCTATACACGTTTAAAATAAATAATAATTTATATTTTTATAATAAAAAAGATGTTACAGTCGTCAATCCGCGTGACAGAGGTGTATTTCATACAAATAACAGTTGTCTCCCGCTACCTGGGCCTGCGTATAATTCATAATGGTACGAAAAATATAAAGACAGTAGCAAATATAAAAATATTTTTTAATTCTGAAAGACAGTTCATTTTGTAATAGTGACTAAAATTTTTTGACATTTTTATTAAAAAATAAAAAAAAATCTTAAAATCTTGTCTCTCACTACAGACTGTTTTACTAAGTATATTCGGTCACGTGTTTTTTAATTCGAACGATGTGTATACGCGGCTCGTTTTTGTTGCCATCGATTGGATATTTTGTCCTCCCTCCCCCTTGCTGGGATTAGCTCTCTAGGACCAAGAGATCGCGCGTTAATCGCCTAGAATCTGTGAATGGAGGTGTGTGTGTTTATTCGGCGACAACTTCGTCACGTAAGTATTGGACAAAAATATATCAATTACAGTTACTTCTTATTATTTAACTTTTGCGTAATAAGAAACACTTTCATGCCAACCTATTAGATTTGAATTTTGTGGTAACGTGTAAATGTTATCAATTTTCTAAGTAAGATTTACCCCTCCGTCACGCTACACCTCCGTCACAATTTTTGTGTAATATATGGGAGGGAGAGGTAAAAAATATTTGCAAAGAATATAACGTTTATTTTATCTCATAAAATATAGAATCTGTTGAAATAGAACCAGTACTTATTATGGCAACTATTTCGAAAAAAAGTTTATCTAATGTTTACATACTTATTTAGCTTGCTTGCCATTCTAAGTTGTATAAAAAAAATCTTTTTCAAGATATTATCATGATGAAAAAGAAGACATTAACAGTAGTAGAAAGGCAGCGGCGTTGCCGTGAGATACGAAAAAAATATCCAGAAAAGGTAGCTGAAGTAAAACGCAAAAATCTTGAGAGATATTATACTCGTAAGAAGCTTGTGGCTGACATAATCGTGAGAGGACATCGTAAAATTAGGAGAAAATGACAACAAGGAAATAAAAAAAGAAAGGAAACAAACAGACAAACAAACAGTTAAAAGTCTTATAATTTAATTATACTAATTAGTATGTAAGTATTTCGGTTTTAAGAAAGCTGAAGACTGTTAAATATTTAATTATTCTAAAAAAGTAATAATTCACTGGTGCTCCGCCAGCGTATTCCGTTAGCGCAGGCGGGGTTACCACACCATTTTCACCCATAAAAAAATACCCCGCCTGTGCTATCGGTATACACTGGCGGGGCACCAGTGGAATATGATAGATGAGGATGAGAACAGGTCAATTAGCCCATCCTGACGAATTCAACTAGAATTAACCACGATGGTTTCCAGGGGGAACCACGTGGAGGTCGACCTGACAGGGTATATTGCTAATATTGGGGCTATTTGACCCCATTACTAACAATCCCTTTCCCCCTTCGCTTGTGCGCTATCGCTCGTCGGTGATGCCGCGTTCCTACATCCAACAGTTATATCGCCGATTCTAGCCGATTGACACCGAGACAGGTATGACATCAAAATTGTTACACACACACCATTTTTTAGAATTTTGGAGTGGTGAACATTGACTGCACGTCATCTACGAGTTTGTAACTGTGTAGGTGCTTGCGGTGGATTCTGCGGGATGTGGTGGGTTTCAACTGCGATTTCAGCTGACGTCATGGCTGGCGCCGTATCAGCTGATTCATTAATTTTATCCTTACCCTCAGCTTCTAAAAGTTGGTATTTCTGCAATCCATCTATTTTTACTTCCAATGTCCTTAATAATTCGCCCAAAGATTCAATTTTATCTATTTAATTTTATATTCTCCATAAATTCTTAAAGAACTTTTGTCCATTTTGTAAATTTATGGACACAAAAAATACTTAAGCGAGAAACGACACGTCTTACTTCTTAGTGTTCGAGCATATATACGATAATAACCTTATGTATCGTGAACATCAAAATACAATATAATGACCATAATGCTGATCATGTATGTATATTCTGCCTAGTTTTAAAACAAAACTTAAAGATTTTTATTTGAGCAATTTCTCTCAGATATCTAAAAATTTTATAACTTTGTGCAAGTGTTTATATGCATGTATGTATATATGTATATTTAAGAATAAGTAGGGATATATATTTACATTATTACATGTATCACATCTCCATATTTATAATTACTCCTCTCCATCCAAAGGTTGCCTAGAAGAGATCGCTTTTAGCCATAAGGTCGCCCATTGTTTTCTTATTGTGATTATTTCTTGTAATTATTTATATTTATAATAGGTTTACTAACGTAATCTTTTGTAGGAAACAATAAAGAGAATCTATCTATATTAACTACCTTATTATACCTAATTATAATAACTGCTTTCTTATCCAGTACTACATACATGTTATCATACGAGTATCTATAATAATAGCAAACATATTTATCAAGAAAACATATCAGAACCATACATTATAAATATATAATCAGTAGTATCTAATACCTATAATACAATTGTAAATAGATACTTAGTACTTTTATTTATGTACATGACCATTCTAATTTATAATAAGCCTAGACTTATATCTGAACACATAATATAGATAATGTAAATACTAACACTGTTTTTATGGAGTTATTTTGATGTTCGCCCAAGATAAAAACAAAAATGTCCCTAACATATAA